TATTAATTTATTTTATTTTATTAGATATTGTTTATTTTTTAAGAGAGGGCTGAAGGGAGAAGAACAGAGAGAAACATTAAAGTGTGAGAGACACATCCATAAGTTGCCTCCTGTACGCCCCCAACCAGGGACCTGGCCTGTAACCCAGGCATGTGCCCTGACTGGGAATTGAACCAGAGACCTTTTGTTTCACAGGCTGGTGCTCAATCCACTAAGTCACACCAGCCATGGCTGTATATGAGTTGGTGTTTTTTTTTTTTAATAAAATAGTGAATTTTAAAGAAATGCCATGATTTGCCAGTGGGCTGCCGGGGGCTATTCCCTCCTCACTCCCTTCCTTAAAGAGTATGTGTCTTTTGCTTCTCTGCCTTTAGGGACATTTCTGGTGAGGAAAAAAAGAACAAGTCTAAGAAAAGACTAATTTTAGCTAAATAAAAGACAGGGTGCTCCTTCTGGGTGTGGAATCAGTCTGTCAAAGCCACAAGGGACTTTGGAAAACATCCAGGCTGACTCTGTCAAGCTCACCCCAGGCCTCAGAGCCCGAGAGACCCCTTCCCCAGTGTCCACCACCCCAGGTCAGGCCATCCCCAGCTCACGTGATGGCCTGCCTACAATAATAGCCCAGCTGCCCTGGGGCTCACAGCACCTCATCCCTTTCTTACAACATCCAACATAGTCTGATTTGATTTTCCAGCAGCCCAGCAGGGTGGGTAGAGCGGGTCTGAGAACCGGGAAGTTATTGAACGGTGATCGAAGCAGAAGCACAGGTGGTAGGAGATGCCAGATAACCCAGAAGTCAGTGTCAGATCGACCTTGACCTTCTGGTAGAAGACCACACTCCTGCCACAGAGAAGACAGAAAGGGGTAGCCCTCCCGAGACAGCCATTGTGATGTCTCAGGATTGCATTTTCCACTCAGATCCTTGCACTTCAATGTTGTAAGACTCGTCTCCATGAGTTGTTGCTGCAGACAGGATGCTGTGCTCTTGCAGCTCAGGCCTGTGGGGTCGGCCTTCTCCGCCTGGCAGGCACTCCACAGAGGGGCCTGGTCAAGCATTCAGGCTCTGGAGCCAGACCCACCTGCAGTGGAGCCTGCACAACCACTTCCTACTTCTGTACTTCAGTGTAGGAAGAGAGCCTGAGGTTCTTGTAAAAATGATTTGCTGAAAGTGCACTCAGGAGAAGGAGAGACAAGCAGGATGAGGCTAGAGGGGAGCTGGGCCCAAAAGCTGTCCTAGTGGAGACCTGCTTAGCCTGGCCCCACAGAGTCTCTGGAGCACAGCCTGCTTCCACAGAGCTGCTCACCCTCCAGCAAAGGGGCTGGAGTTTCCCACGTGTATGTATGTGTCAGTCACAGGCTGGCATGGAGCGTGGGGCCTGGCATAGCCTCCTGGGCCAGGAAAAGCCCCCCTCAACTGAGAAGGTAGCAAGTTGCTGGCAGCCGCCCTTGCTGCGGCTGGGAGGGGTATGCCAGCCCTAGGAGGGAATCCAGCAGGCCCAATGGCGTCTGCTGAGCCTGGGAAAGTCTCAGTTTGGGGGGACCTCAGTTGGCTCATGAAATTTTCCAGAGTGGGCATAATAACAGCACCCCAGGCTCTCAGGTTTCAGCTGCACTGGGTGCTGGCTTGTCCGCTTTCCTCCCAGACTTTGCAGCATCTTGCCCTCTCTCACTCACCATCTAGAATTAGAATGGGTGTGAAGCTCCCTGTGTCAGGCCCAGCCCGGCTCTGGACAGGATCGTCCTTGGGCCGCTCTGTTGGTCAGGGAGCACCAAGGTGAGAGCACTGGCTCCGGCGTGCAGGGCAGCCTTGGAGGAAGCCTTTTACCCCTCAGGGAAGAGTTTAACTAGATCACTGATCCCTTGGGCCTCATCCAGTCCTAACAGTCTTGGAGCATGGTCCAAGCAATCTATGCAACTTGGTTGTCAAGGCAACAGGAACACTAAATGGTCCACAAATGGCAGAGCTGGTTATTTATGCATCAGCAGGTGGTCAGCCATGGAGAATATTGGGTCCCTTGGTCCATTTAAGAAATGGACGTGTTGAACCCAATCAGTGCCTGCGCCCTAGGCTAAAAGGATATTAGCGCAATGATGGTACCAGCTACCAAAAAAACCAGTATGGGCCAGGCTTTGCACTTGGTGCTTGACACAAGGTTCATGGACTTCGTCAGGCATTCAACATCTATTTATTGACATATATGCTATGCCCTGTCCTGGGAGTTAGAAACCCAGAGACAGATCCAATTACCCTCAGTCCAGTGGGGAAACATAGATGTAAGTGGCATGTGCCGTGATTGAGTGCTCTGGGCCCACAGAGGAACAAATGGTCACCAAGACTGATGGGACAGAGATGGCCTCTCAGAGTAGAGGTACATGAAGGGTGGGAGGGATGGACATTCTGAGTGAGTGGGCTTACAGAAAGAAAGAGGATATGTAGGGAGGAAATGAATGAGTGAATGAATGAATAAGCAAATGAATGAAGGAACGAGTAGCAGACCTGGATGCAGCTGTGGAGGAGTGAGACGTGAGAACTAGGGAGAAACGGGGCTGAGAAGTGCCCAGGAGTCAGTTGGTAAAGAATCTTGAATGCTCAGAGATCAATCTGGAAAGTTCAGGGAGCCACAAAAAGATTTTACGTGGTCACATTTGAATTGTGGAATGATCCCTTCATTTGTCCTGTAGGGACGGGGCAGATGGGGAGGACTAGGGGCAGGGACCCGGGGAGGAGGCTGCCGAGGTTCACCACACAGGGAACAACAGTGGCTGAACCATGGCAGTGGGGCTGGAGGGACAGGAGTGATGTGGGAGCTGTGAGCAGACGGAACCAACAGGCCCGGGTTGTGGCTTGGATGAAGGAGAGGAGCGACCCTAAGGTGACCACCACGTTTCCCACCTGGGGGAGTAGGAGGTTGGCGATGCCAGTCTCAGAGATGGACAGCACAGTGGGAGGAAGCGGCTCGAGGGGAAAGATGATGGGTTCCACTGGGGACATGTTGAGCTTGAGGTGCCTGGGCGAATCCAAGGAGGTATCCTGTAGGCAACTGGAGAAAAGTCTGGGCTGGGGAGGGAGATTTTGGACCCCAGAGCACATTGAGGGTACTTGTGGCTGGGGTCATGAGTGACGATGCCCAGGGAGAGTGACTAGGACAGAACTGAGTTCAACACCAGCATGTAGGGATGGGTAGAAAGGTAAGGAGCTGACTCTGAGCAGAAGTGACCAGGAGGTGGGAGGGACCCAGGAGAGAGCATCATGGAAGCCAACAGGTAGGTTTCATATCATTAATCCTACAGCCACCTGCAAGGTAGGTGGTATTATTTCTTTGATGAGGCTTCAGGAGAGTGCAGCTGGTCAGTGGTAGAGTTGGGACTTGAACCAAGGTCTCTCTAACTGCAAAATCCAATAAGCTGTTTCTCCTCTATCATGTTTAACAACACAGAACTTGGCACCAAGCAGATGTTCCATAAGCGTTGGCTGGGTGGATGGGTATTGTTAGCAGCAAGAAATGATAAAAGATTTCACCAAAGAAGCAGAAAGACCCTGGAGTGTGCCTGGGAGCATGCCTGCAGACCAGAGCAGCTTAGAACTTTTTATAGCCTTGCAGACACCGTGATGACAAAAGCTTGCCTCCCTTCCACCGCTCCATTAACGATCTTTCAAAGCCCTTTCCGAGCGACTTTTTCTCTTCTTCTTTCCATTCTTGCTCACAGACGAAGGATGATTTTAGAATCCAGGCCTTTTTTATTTTGCTAAAGTACATGATGAGTAAACTGGCCTCCCAGTCAGCATTTTCCAATTTTGACAGATGCTAAAAACTGATATTTAAAAGCATGTTTCTCTCTGCATCAAAAGGCCTTGAGGCCTGTTGGAGAGGACAGAGTGAACGGTGGGAAGGTAGCACCACCTGCAAGGCTGAGCCCTGCTGAGGAAGGCAGGAAGCGAGCAGGGCGGGGGCCGGCGTGCAGGCCAGGACCCGGCTGGCCTCCTGGTGGCTGCCCGGCACACCCCCCTCCAGCTTGTCTTCTGTGTGGAGAGGGCCCAGCCTGGACCCTCACCCCCTACAAAGCAACCAGAGGACCCTCACCCTGACCTGGGAGGGAGCCTCCAACAGGCATGGAGTAACTGTTTATTGAACTAATAAATGAGCCCCAGGAGCTGTTGTACAGCTTATACCTATTAACCACACTGAGATAATAAGATAATAAACAAGCATTTTATAGAGCTTTTGGATATAGATTTTTCCTCTGAAATAAAGATGGGCTGAGGGAAGGTTATAAAATACTAATACTAGCTAGCACTTACTAGACACTCACTGTGTGCCAGGAACCGTGTTAAGCATGTTGTGAGGGTGATCTGTCTCATTTAGTGCCATCAGCAACTGCTGTAAGGTAAGCACCACCATTCGTCCCTAGTCTGCAGATCAGGAAATTGAGGCCAGGTGGGGAAGGGCCACCTAAGGCCACCCTTGAAGCTTGTTGGTAGAACTGATATTTGAACAAAGCTCAGAACTCAAAGAGATTCTGAAACTTAATGTGAAAGCTTTGTGGATTCCAAGAAGGTATAAAAGTGTAGAATAAAGGGTGGGTGGGGGCGTCAGACGAGTCTCATGTCTCATTTCTTCAGACACCATCCTGGAGACCGAGGAAGCTCCCTTCATTCCTCTGGCCTCAGTTTTTCTACATGTATAGTGAGCAAGAAGATCAGACTCTGTCTCTGCTCCCTGGAGGGTTTGGAGGAGAGCAGGAGAGAGGCCAAGGTCAGCTTTAGCCTCCAGCCTGTGTAGTATCCCCTCAGCTTACTCGTGAGACCAGGGAGGGCTGGCCCCAGAGTAAGCCAGAGATTCCGGGCCGGGCTGGGGGTGAGGTGCTGCTCTGCCTGCCCTGCTTGGGCAGAGCTCTTGGCTGGGCGCTTGGGCTGCACAAATGTTCTCTGCCTTGGCCTTGAGCCCTCTGGGGTGTGCTGTCATGCACTCGCCTTTACATACGTGTCCTTCTGTCCACAGGGCAATGACGTGAGGATCATCCTCGGCCAGTTTGACCAGCATATGGCAGCAAAGGTGTTCTGTTGTGTAAGTAAAACTTTGATCATGTCACTGTGTCTTTGGGGAAGTTCACGAAGCTTTTTCTCGGACTCATTCTCACCACCGGGTGGGTGAGTGAGGTTCTAGGACTGGAGTCGGGAAGCAACCATGTTATTCTCCCTGCTCACTCTTCTTCCCGGAGCTAGAGCCCCAGGGCTTGGAACAGGAGAGCTGGAGGGGGAACCAGGGACCTGATTTATTACCAAATCCACTGTCTAAGCCCCATCTGCTGATTGCAAGTCCTCTCGACTCAGCCCTGCTTAATGGAGGCCGACTGCGTGCACCGTGCAGCGGGAAGCACCAGGACAGGGGCAAGGCAGGCTCCCAGACGCCTCCCTGCCCTGTAAGCAGGGCTCAGAGTCTTAGCTTTAGAACAAATGGTCAACCATCCAATATGTACCCCCAAATCCTTTACAGTTGTCTGGTGTGTGATAGGGGATGAAGGACTTTTTATACCTTATCTCATACAATCTTTCCAATAGCCATGTGAAGCAACGGTCATTATCTCATCGTACAGACGAGGACACGGGGGTCCAGAGAGGTGAAGGGACTTTCCAAAAAGCCCTCAGCCAGTTCATGGCAAAGCCAAGGTTCCATTCCCATTCACTGATTCCCGATCTAATTCTCCTTTTTCCATATGATGTTCTAACCTAAGTGTGTATAGGAATTCTAACATAGGAACTGATATTTCCATTTTGATGTCCTGGTTCCCCTCGTCTGCCCTGGGTCAGGAGACAGGTCAACAGAATGAGAACCCAGTTGTGGGAGTCGTCCTTGACCCAGTCAGCCCTTCGTCTGAGACCGAGGTTATTTTGGGTGTAGAAACCAGTGATGGGCCACAGGCCTCTCTTCTCTTTGAACTTTTTGTCAGTAACTTGGATGAAATTATAAAAAGCAGACTTGTAGGAATTTTAGAAGTTGTGCTATATGTTGGATGACAGAGTCGGGGTACAAAGAACCTCAACAGGCTGGAGCATTTGATTAAATCCAAGATTAAATCTAATAGTTCTAACAAAAGGTTACATCAGAAAAAAGCAAGCCACTGAAGTCAAATATGGTAGAGACAGAGCCGAGGACTACTGCGTGTTGAGAGCAGAAAAGACGTAGGGGTCCTGGTTGACTTCAGGTGACTGTGAGTCACCAGTGGGAGGCAGCTGCCAGGGGGCCGAGGTGACGTCAGGCTGCGTGTCCACACACAGGATGAGTGGTCCCTCCGCTCTGGGCTGGAGACACTGCCTGGGATGCCCAGCCCAGCTTCTGGTGCCCCGTTTGAGAAGAGACGCAGGGACTGAAAAGAGACTGGGAGAAAGGAGAGAGCAGTGGCTAGAAGCCCCCACTGCACAGGGATAGTTCATCCTGAAGGCCCAGGAGCAAAGTGAGAACAGCCCATTCACCTCTGAGTTCACTGGGGAGGAGGGAGGGGCTGCAAGGCTGGCATTTCAGGAGATCCTGGGTGGGGCTGAGAGCTCAGGGGTCTGTCTACTTGTGCAGGAACCCTTGCTCTGCTGCCTAGTTACTGAATCCGGGCTTGTTGTTGACACTTTCTGAGCCTCGGTTTTCTCACCTGTAAAGTGGGAATAAGAATAACACCTGTCTCAGGATTGTTGTGAAGATTAAATGAGCAAAAACACTTTGCACAGTGCATGCTGTCTATTGGGAGCCCTCAGTAAACATCAGGGGTCTTTATTTGTTTGGCATGGAAGGTCTCAAGGGCCTAGAGGACCACAGATGGGCTGCCAAGTTTACCAACTGATGGACTTCACAAGGTCGTATTAAGCATCCTATCTATCAATTAAGGGTAACAAGTGGTCATTTCATATGATCATCCAAGGAGGACCATGAGAAACATTTTAAAAACAGAACAAATTGGTTTAATGCATTTTACTTCAAGACTCATAAACCCTCACATGCTACCACAGAAGGCCCAGAAATGACCCATTTTGAAATGGAAAATAAAGCTTCAAATTGGAGGATGTGATCCCCCATGTCCCCAGGCCTTGCGAGCAGCTGGCACATGGTGAGTAATAACTCCAAGAAATGTAAATTAATAAAAACGATCCATAAAGCCACCACACTGGGCACTGGCCACCTCCTGTTTGTGAGAATTGCAGACAAACCTCCTGTTCTGATCTGAGCCAAGCACACCCTGAGGCGTGGCTGTGATTCTACTCTGTGCCATGCACTGGGATTATTTTCCGAGTGGCATTTCCAGCCACTGCTTCTGCTTCAGAACAGATGGCGTGACTGTCTTCCTCTTGACCCAAAGCCCCAGGCTGCCTGCCTTCCACATGCCATGGGACACCATCCTACCTTCTCCCCCAACTTGACTCTTCCCTCTTACTGGGTTTTTGGTGCTTGGAGATGAGCCTTCCCTTAGGGTCCTCGCCAGCTGCTTTGCTTCTGCAGGAGCTTCTCAGAGCTCTGGGTTGGGTGTTTATTCCGCGTGTGGGACCCTCGGGAGGATCTGCCCTCCAGGTCATTCGGTCTTTCCCCAGTAGGAAGGAGTTTTTCTGACAGGTCTGCAGGGTCCTGAGGAGAGTCTGCTTGGGGTCAGTGAGTCGAGACTCGGATGTGTCAAGTAGGGTGGGGTCGGGGGCTGCTCAGAGCAGAGACCCACAGAGAGAGCCTTCCCGTGCCTTGCCGGGTCAGAGCTCAGCCCAGGTGGGAACACCATGTCCCACCGTCTAAACGCCTCGGTGCGGTCTTTGCAGCATGTTGCTGTGTTCTTCAGATTGGAACTGCCGCCCAGTGGGCGAGCGGGCTCCAGCAAATGCAAGGTCTATTTATAGCCCTGTGGCAAAATGTTCGTTCTGGCTCCGGCACAGGACAAGCATGGCGCGTCACTTTTGTCTTCTCCTCACCCCTCCGTGGCCCAGTCTGAATTCTCCAGCACTCCGACAGGGCTCTGGGTGTCACTCCACGGGCTGTGTGACCTCAGGCAGATCATTTCGCACCTTCGGCTGCCTCACCGCTACAGTGGAAGCGGTGAACCCCCCACCCCAGCAACCTGACGGGGTTGTCGAGAGGCTTCCGTAAAGCCGTGGGAGGGAGACCATGGACTCAGCTGTTAACTGCTTTACTGATGCCAAGGTTTCTCACTGTATTTTAGTGAACTGTGATGTTAAAGGGAAATGACCTTGCATGAGGAGGGCAGGAGGCAAAGGAAAGGTCATGAAAAAGGGAATGGGATTTTAAAATAATTCCTCATCACGATTCCCTGTCTATAGCCAATAGGAACCAAAGCAGCATATGGGACTAAACATGAGCTTAGGGCCACCCATCGCCATGTGGCAGGGCCCACTGGGTGGTGGCCCCAGGTCCCGAGACCACATTGCTACCAGAGGCAGGGAAAACGAAAACCAAGGTGACCAAGTAAACTGGACATGTGTCCAGTGAGTCACTCCACAACCATTTATTGGTGGTCTGTACACCAGGCACTGTGCCAAGTACTGAGGACCCTGGGAAAAGCCGATGCCACCCTCCAGGACCTCCCCATCAGGCAAAGGGGACAGCCAGGCACACCCACAGCCACTTAGCGGTCACATGGCAAACAACCTCGGCTCGTGTGAAGGTGGAGGTACCAGGACGAAGGCCGGGAGGCCTCTCTGCAGTTGCTTCAGCAGTGGATGACATGTTAGACCCGCACTCAAAACCTGTGTACTCCTGCTCTGCACACGTGTTTGACGGCCCCTGCTTTCCTGGCCCGTGGCCGTCTGAAAGCAGCATGTGCAGAGTGAGGAGAGTGACTTGATGGCAGTGAGAAGTGACTGCCAACACCTGACAGCAAGCGAGGTGACAGAGCCATAAAGAGTGAATCCCAGACTCCAAGTGGAACAGTCTAGGGCCATTTGGCATTTGGACCCGTCTTCTTGACCCTGAAGAGCGTCACTGAGCATGACCCCGAGTAACAACTGATGTTGGGAATGAAGCTCTATGAGTTACCAGAAGGAAGAAGACAGAATGGCTGCACGTCCTGCGTGTGGTGTTGGACGGGCGTGGTGCACATAGTATCTCACTGAATTCTTGCACCGACCCAGTGACCCGGGCTTAGCTTCCCACAGGCTGTAGGTGAGCAATGGGAGGGCCGGGCTGCTGTGCGATAGTTCCCCCGCTGGTGCGGGGCACAGCGTCTAGTGCTGCTTGACTGTAATCCTTTTGTCCCCCTTGAAAGCCAGTAGACACTTCTTTATCTTTTAAATTGACTAACATTCCAAACAAAATGTGTTGTCACTCAAGTGGACCAAGCTTCTGTGTTGTGGGACATGCACTCACAAGGAACAATTTCCAGTGGGACAGTGGCAGGCTGGAGCGCTCACGGCAGACCCCTGCTGGGCTCTGGCCTCCCGCTCAGGCCACCCTAGGTTACCACATGGCCTCTGTCCAGTGGTGAAAACCCACCTTTGTGTCTGGCTAGAAGACCCCTCCTGTCCTCAGTCGCTGTGTGTTAGCTCTTCTTTTCATGTACGTTTCTAGGAAGCGGGGCCGTCTTCTTGCCTCTACCTGTTAAGATTGAGAAGGCATGCAAAAGGCATTGTTTTATTTTGCTAAGAATAGAGGGGAATTTCAAAAAACGGACTTTGAATCTACTGAGAAACTTCATTCTGGACCCAATTTTGATGGCACATGACATTCCTACATAGTGGGGTGTTCTGGGTGCCTCTAAGCTCTCAAAAGGCATGCTTTGCCTGATATAAAACAGCACAATAAGGACTACAGCCAGATAGAAGTCTGGTAGCATAGTCTGGTGATTTCTTTTTAATAGGAGGAAGGAAGTGTGGTTTTTCTGCATAGTAGTTAGCAGACCCAGGTTCCAGGCTGAGTTTTCTCCCTGGCTATGTGACCTTGGAGAACTGACTTTCCGTCTCTGATTTCTAGATTCCAAAATGAGGATAATAAATTCTGCCCTGACCACCTCAAAGGAAGAACATGAATGGCAAATAAGGTGTATGTAAAGCATATAGACATCAGGAACTTGCAGGATTGCACTTGTGCACGCCGGGCTTTGGGTGAAGACTCAGACTACGACTCAGACTGCTCAGTTTGCCAAGAGGCATCTTATGTAAATTGCAGAGTTAGATTGAATTTTCTGGGCCCCTTGCAAAATTGTTCCCTCTGGGTTGTGCTTTGAGATTATGATCTCAGACTTTACTAAAGATCTACACCAAAATAGCCTTATAAAATCTGTTTGTTGTAGGGATGTTGTTGATACCATGCTAGCTAATATGCACCATTTTTTTTAGGGTTAAAGCCTAGAAAACATTTACTTCCCTGAAGAACTGATCTGTTTTCTCCTTACTGATATAAAATATAAGATATAATTTATATTTTTCAGGTCTTTATGTTTTAAGTTTTAGTCAATATTTACTATTCTAATATGCATGTTATCCATAAACTACCTTGGGTCCCATAAACAAGGAGGAGACCAAGCAAGTAATAGAAAAAATAATAAATCCTCTGATAAGAGGAAACCCAAGCCCCCCAGCTACCCCTGCACACGCGCCTCTCCCGCAGGACACAAAGCCTTGAACAGATACATAACTCTTCATGGTCAACCTGTCTGTTGCAGGCATATGAGGAGAATGTGTACGGTAGCAAATACCAGTGGATCATCCCGGGCTGGTATGAGCCTTCCTGGTGGGAGCAGGTGCATACGGAAGCCAACTCCTCCCGTTGTCTCCGGAAGAATCTGCTTGCTGCCATGGAGGGCTACATCGGTGTGGACTTTGAACCCCTGAGCTCCAAGCAAATCAAGACCATCTCAGGAAAGGTCAGTGCCCTGGTCAGTCCATCTCAGCCTCTGAATCTCTCTCCTCTGATCATCTTATCTAATTATGTTGGCAAAAAGTGCCCTTTGCTGTGTGTCTTTGAGCAAATCACTTAACCTCTCTGAGCTTCAACTTACCTATTAAATGGAAATAGCCAGCCACCCACTGCATTCCCATCTAGGAAACTGTGGGCATGAAGGCTGTTTTGCAAGTTCCTAACACAGTGTACACCTAAGGGGTAGAGTTGTGACTTACAGTACCAACTGCCAGTGTCACCTCCCAGGCTCTGTTATAGTCTTATCTGTGCCCCTCTGGCCTGGAATATCATTTCTCAGTCACACTGATGCTCCTGTCAGTCCAGAGAAGAAAGACCCTCAAGTAGGTTGGGGAAACATGTGCTGTAGACCAGCCAGACTGGTTCGAACCCCAATTTTGCCGCATACCAGCTGTGACCTTGAGCTTAAGTTCTCTAAGCCACTGTTTCCTCTTCTATATAATGGTGGTGAAAATACCCTCATCTGGGGTTAAAAGGAGGACAGATAGCAGATTGCACAAGATGACTAACATGGTGCCTGGTCCCTCAGTACTGTGACAACTGGGAGGAGGACCCAGGCAGGTCGCTTAAGTCCGTACATTCTCACTAGGGTTTACGAACCCCTGCTCTGCTTCTCTAGTAGTGCTGTGTGGGAACCAGGCAATATGGCACATGCAAAAGTGTTTCAAAAGCACACACACTGTTCTCCATCAGTAAGAGCGTTGTCAGGAACAGGTGATGACAGCCCCAGGGAAGATGGGAACATTCATCCCTCAGTGTTAACTGCCAGCCAAAATTCAGTCCAGCAGTGCACACAGTTCTTTCCTCTATTCTCACTGCTCAGATTGTTAAGTTCTGCCCTCCACTCCAGAGTTCCTACAGACGCAGTTTCACTAAGAGAATAAACTGCATGTAAAGTAAAATCTATATGTATTACTTTTATCCATTATTTAATCTCAATTGGAGCCAACTCTACAAGAATGGTTTACTGATTTGTCAAAAAAAAATATGGTAGACTGTTAGGACATACTTTGTAAACAACCCGTCAGATTGCACCAGTACCTGAGAGACCCTGGAAAAACAATCTGGTGAGAAAAGGTTGAAAGACATATTTTTATACCCAAATCGATGAGTGTATAAAAAGGTTTTGAGATGCTGAATAATAAGTAGAAACAACTCATTATGTTTCAGCAAGTATTATTATTAAAAGTGTCAAAGCTTGCAGTTTATTAGCAGATACTTGGTCCAGGATACCCTATACTTTAATCTAAAATCAGTGTAAAATTTGAGGAGAAGACAAAAACGAAGGGGAAGAAGATTCTATGTGAGCAGACAGTGTAATAATTAAACTGAGAGACTTAAAATCAAAGAAGTAAATGATTACACAAAAGGTCTGTGAAGTTCAGTGGGGGTGAGAAGGGCCTCGGCCGCCATCCTGGGGAGCGTGGACGTGACCCCAGGCTGGTGAGCTAGGGTGTCAGCTGTGCACAGGAATGCATTTGGGGAAGATCATGTCTTTCAGTGTTCCTTGTAGCAAATATTTTGGCTTTATAACAGACTATTTCCCAGGTTGCTGGCTCTTCTTTTTGATTTCTTTTATTTGGGGCAGGTGAGGAGGCTGACCTTACCCTATGTTGCTGTGTCTGTGAATGGGACGCTGTTCCCGGGGCTGTTCATTTCATCTCACAGCGTGGGCAGCCAACCCCTGGGCCTCCCACAGCGGAGCGATGCCACGCAGCAGAGGCAGGCTCCTGGCTTACGGCAGCTCCCAGAATTCCAGGAGACCCTGTCCCTGTCCCCAAAGTCTTTGAGGCAAGAGGCAGCATTTGTTACATTATCAGGAGGTTACAAGATGATGGAAGTTACACAGGCACATCTGAAGCCTTTTGCCTCTTAGAACCAGAGGACCTAGGGCTCTCCAAGGGATCATGGGGACCAGCCTCCCATCAGACACCCAGCTCCTTCCAGCACCACAGGACTATTTTTCCCTTAATGTCCCTACTGGTCCCTCGGGGCCCACACAGGTCCTTTCGGCAGTGACCGCCTTCCTGGTCCGAACTCAGCAGTGTGTCCCTCCAGTTGTAACTGACAGGTTCTGTGGCTGGGACTAAGGGCAAAATTGAAGGGAGTGCCAAAACCTTCAGTAATCAATATAAAAAAATTTAATGCAATGTTTTTTAATTCAAAATTAATGCAGAAATTCCATGATGAACAAAATACCAAAATTTTAAATACAGACAAGATCCTCAGGCCTGGGATTAGGGTAAACCAAGTGATTTCAGTTGCACAATGGCTGGATTAGGTCTTATCTGTATTTAGTATTTTGCTATTTTGTTCATTATAGACTTTTTACATTCATTTTGATTTATTAAAATATTATTTATCTTGGCTACTGAGGGTTTTGGCTCCCTCTTAAATTCTGCACTGAAAGGGATCACATTGTTCTCCTCTCCCTGATCCTGGCCTTGAATGAGTTATATTGGTCAAGCCCCTTCCTGGGCTGAGCTGTCCTTCGTACTTGCTCTTGGTGAGCACTGTCTCCCCAGGGTGTAGGGCCCAGCACTAATAAAGCATTCCTGTTTGTGGTTTGACCACGACCCAACTTCCCCAACTGGCCTTCAAAAGTCCAAGGTCAAATAAAGTTCTAGAGAGTTGAGATATGTTTCCTGAATTTGAACTTGCATTTTACATGACTGCTGGGGGGTGGATGGTGGTCAGCAGGGCACAGGCTGATGGTTGATGCCTGTATTTTGGGGGTCCATTGGTATCTATGAAGACAAGCAAATGTATCTTGAACCATCATCCCAAGTCAACGCACCCTTGCCATCCTCACTATTGACGTATAGAGAAGCTAAGGGGCAGAAGGGACACCCTCGAGATCCCTGTAGCAGATTGAATAATGACTGCTAAAAAAACATGTCCATATCTTAACCCTTGGAACTTGTGAATGTGACCTCATTTGGGGAAAAAGGTCTTCGAAGATGTCATTAACTTAAAGATCTTGAGATGAGATTGTCCGTGATAACCTGACAATCTCAGGTTTAGGGTAGGCACTAAATCCAATAACAAGTGTCCTCATAAAAGAAAGCAAGAGGGGGATCTGCCACAGGGAGAAGGTCATTGGAAGGCAAAGGCAGACTGAAGTGATGCATCTGCAAAACAAAGAGCACCGAGGACTGCTGGCAGACACCCCAGCCAGGAGAGGAGGCAGGGGCCGATTCTCCCTCGAAGCCTCCAGGGGGCAGCAACCCTGCGAGCACCCTAGTTTCAGACTTGCAGTCTCCAGGACTGTGAGAGAGTAAGTTTCTGCTGTTTTAAGCCACCCAGTTTGTAGAAGTTTGTTATGACAGCCACAGGAAATGAATGCAGTCTTCCAGAAGGTCCAGGAGAGATCCAGGACTTGAAGCCAGGACCATCAGTTTCCCGCTCTGTGCACCTTCCTGTGTCTACCACGCTGTCCCTCTAGACAGGTGACACGCTTAGAAACAGAATGCAGCCAGAGAAGTCCTTTCTGTGATGTCTCAGCAAGCCCCAGGTAGTAAGTGGCCTGTAGGAGGATACCGGAGAGCGGGCACAGATTCTGGCCTTCCCACCATTTAATTCAGCTAGTCACCCTCTCTCCCATATCACATGGCTGCATGCCCTCTGGAAAGACCTTTGTATACTGTTTGGGCCCTTCCTCTTTCACACAATGTTGTGTGAGTGAGATTGGTTTGTGTAGATACTTATTTTCACTGCTGTATAAGTATTCCACTGTTTGGCTATTGTGCATAATGTTGCTTTGAACATCATTGTACATCTCTCAGTAAATACTTCAAAATCCCTCTTCTACAGTAAGTATTCTGATCTGTCCAGTTACTTTTTTAGTACCCTCAGGTTTAGGGTGGACTACTCTTGCTGGTCCCTATTCTACCTCACCCTTCCATGGCTCAGATCATCTGTTTTTTTCCCCACAGTTTTCTTCGGTCTACTTGTATTTGCCACAAGCCTTGCACAGGGCATGAGTGAGCAAAAGTATAGATGATTGTGGTGCTGGGATCTGTTGACTTTTCTCTTTATTCACGTTGACTTTGCAGTTTTTTGTATTCTCCATCTTCAGTTCTTGGTGAGGGTATGTTCTTATATAAAATTTTGCATAAGGTCATTAGTATAGTTTGGGGACTTTGGAAAGGTTAATTAAACACACAGTTTGCATTGTCTTCAGCTGCCTGGAAGTCCTCCAAATGGTATTTTTTAATCAACAGAAATTCTTCATTTTAACAAAGCCTACCCCAAAGTCATGAAGATATTTTCTCTTGTCTTTTAGAAGTGTCATTGTTTTACCTTTCATGTTTAGATCTACAGTCAACCCGGAGTTGGTTTTCTGTATGGTGTGAGGTAGGGATCAAGATTATTTTTCATCCTTTTTCATATGGGTATCTAATTGCTCCATTATCAGTTATTGAGAAGTCACCTTTTCCCACACTGTGATGCCTTATTTCCCTTATCATAAGTCAAATGACTGCATATATCTGTTTCCATTTCTATAATTTATTTTCTCTTTCACATATATGTTTTTCTGTTTTTCACCAAAACACCTTTGCCTTAATTATGATAGCTTTATAGTAAGTCTTGATAACTGTTATACCTAATAAGGCCTCCCTCTTCTTCCATAGTTGTTCTATTTTTGCGTGCAGTTGTGAATCGGGTTATCAAGTTACACACACATACACACAAACCTGCTCTGGTTTTTGTTGGAATTTTGTTGAATCTGTAGATTAATTTAGGGAAAACTGACATCTTAATATTATAGAGTCTTCTGATCCACAAGTTTTGTATATCCCTACTTTTACTTAGACAGTCTTTAATTTCTGCCAAGAATATTTTATAACTATCTTTGTAGAGCAGCACACATTTTGTTTGTTCTTTTTGGGGGGTACTTGGTATGTTTTGGTGAGTATGTGTTCAAGTGACCACTGAGTGCCTACT